ATCTCTAAACTTATTCAAACTATGTAACTGCAACTTCGTACCCATCGACCACCATCTTCCCATAGCCTTTACCTCCAAGTCCATGATAACCTATTTCACTCTCTGCTTCTATGTAGTCAGCCTTTCGAGATTTCATATAGAGATGAAGATCATGCATTTTTTTTTCTTTTTTAGCCTAATGTCTTTGTCTTTCAGCTTCACCTATGTTGTTGCAAATGGCAGAATCTTCTTTTCTAAGGCTGCATAATATTCCTGTGTGTGTGTGTGCTTTCTTTATCCATTTATCTGTCACTAGACATTTAGGCTGCTTCCACATCTCGGCTTGTGTGAATAATGTCGCAATGAACATGAGATCACAGGTATCTCCTTGAGATACTGGTTTTACTTCCCTTGGGTATATTTCCAGAAGAGGGATTGCTGAATCATAGAGTTGTTCTATTTTTAGTTTTTTTTAGAAACTTTCATGTTTTTCCATAAAAGCTATTGCAATTTACATTCCTATCAATAGGATGCAAAGGTTATCTCTTCTCGACATCCACAAAAATACTTTTGGTACTTGTTTTGGTAATGTTGAAATCTTTTATAGTTTCTTTTCCATTTCTATGGCTATGTCTGTTCAAATTCAACATTTTAAATTATGCAGCTGTGTGTGTTTAGATGTATTTTGGGATAAGGGTAAAATATTAATGTCATACCATTTAAATTAATTAAAAAATTAAGAAATTAAGATATATGAAACCAAAATAGCTACATAAAACCAATAAGAAAAATATTTTGGACCCTATTATACTCAAATGTGTAAACCCCCCCCAAAAAAAAGGCCTATTGGAAGAATCTTCTGAATCTAGCCATTCAAAGGAATAACCTAATGGAGCATTTATGATATAATCACAGGTCAAAAGTTCATTGTGGTCATGAACCACTGCTCTGTAGATCATTTAACATATGTCTATGGTAGACTCCTTTGAGTTTGGACTTACTAAATGCAAAACAAATATTTTCTAAGGTCCTTTCCAGTGCTCTTCATCTTTGGTCCTGAAATTCTGTTCTAGATTTAGGATTACAATTTATATGTACCAGTATATATAGTGGTGGGCAAAAGTAGGTTTACAGTTATAATACAAAAAAATAATAATAAATAACAACCCTGTGTTCTGCATATTCAAACTATAAACCTACTTTTGCCCACCCCTCTATAGTGTATATTGGTTTAACATGAATTCAAATCTTCTTGTTTATGACTTAAATGAAGCTGTTTTAATTTACTGGTTTGTGACAAAGACAAAAAAGTTTTTTTGTAAGTTGTTTTGATATGGGAATGAAGTAAGTTGTGTAAGGATGTTATATTCTCATCTGTTAACCTTTAGAAGCACCCAGCAGTCCAGCTGAGGAAGAGTCCTCCCTGGGGACCTGCTGATAAGATCATGTGGTGAAGCAACCACAACAAGGAGACATCTGCACTACAGATACTGAGAGTTTGTGAGGACTATTTGAGAGGTTGAGTCTGGGCAGGGCACACTTTGCTACCTACGTAGCTCTCTGAAGATCTTGAGATACTTGCTCCCGCCCTGGCCAAGGTGACTCTTTGGTTAGCAGGGACACTAAGCCATGTAATGACCCCTGGAATGGTAACCCCCCAAACAGCCTATCCTGTCCACCAACACCGCCCCCTTCCTTTCCCTAGCAATGTGCTCTGTTAACGAGGGACTTTCGTTTTTGCGCTGACAGCTGAAGTCAGCTAGTGCTTGGTCAAGCCATCATTCCCAAGAAACCAAACATGTATAAAAAGGCACACATTTGTTAAATATGGACTTTATTTCTTTATCTCCTCTTGCCTGGAATAACTGTATGCGTAAATATGTCATATGTGTGGAAGATGTTTCTTCTTTATTGGCTTATTTGATAAATTATACTGTATGTTATTGGCTTGTGATTATAATTCCCACAGCAAACCTATGCTAAATAAATTACTGGAAAAGACAGAATTGGTTTCCAAGTATAACTTTGCCACCAAAAACAAAACATAACAAAAGAATATACAAAACCTGTGGAAAATGGTCTGTTCATAGTCCATGTTAAGCACTATGAATCTCATATTAACCTAATCATATAAAATATATGTGGGGATTTTAAAATCAGCTAAATTGTCAATAGTCTTTGAATGAGGTTAGCTATCCAAATGATCATCCTGTATTTCTGATCAAACAATAGTTTTGTTTTGTTTTGTTTTAATGGAAAGAATACACTAAAGGGATCTAGAAGCACTGGCATTTGTAATCTTGGTTTTATGAGTTAAAAAAAGCACAAAAGTGTATAATTAATTTACTGATTGAAGAGGGGTATGCTCATTTACTTATGTAAAGTCAGAACCTAGATTTTTAAATATGTAAATTACCTATTTTTATTTGGGTTACTTGAATGTATATATTTGGATCAATTTCTTCACCTCTTTACTGAATAATTAAGAGAATAGAGGAGAACCTTATTTTTTTCCTATTATATGAAAAAATGTATTTTGTTAGTTTTCATATATTTCAAGTCACTTTAAAAAATTTGTTCATTTGTTAACATAGTAAAAAATTACTATGGTGTCGATGTGATCTCAAATGTAGGAAGTCAGAAAGATTCAAGAAATATTTCATTTTTGGTAGTTTGTCTCACTTTTTCTAGAACAGATATACCATTAAATCAAATTCCTGCGCTACACAGTCTACTGAAGGCATGCTTCTAAGGTAAATGACAGTTGAAAGATTAGAACTGATACTGAACTAAGTTTTATATTCCCCTTCTCTCTCGGCCTTTGGCATTATATAGAATGATATTCATAATTTTCTGCACTGCCTTTCCACAGAAGCTAGCAAAATCCTGTACTTCTTCTGCCCTGACAATCCATCAGAGCAGGATTAGTTTAAATTTTTCTTGCTTCTCTTTCTACGCACAATTAGACACAAATGATCTTTATCCCCTGATAATATGACTTTAAGAGAAGTTTCCTTCTTGACATATTAATATAAACACTGTACAGAAACTCTGAGCAACATGAAACATAATTGTTACTTATTCACAAGGGATCCTATTCACAGATGCATTATCTTCCCTATATAATGCATACTGAGTTCCTTCTTAGTATGTGGGAGCTTATGATAAATTAGTACCACATCAAACATACCTTCACATTCAAAAGTTAGTTTAAAATCAACAAGTCTTATTGAAGGCTTGTGATATACTATAGGTATACACTTATTATGACAACTCCTACTCAAATGTTTTTAATAGCCGCTAATGAAAATAATATATGGATATTGAACAACAAGATAGGATTTACTTCATAACTAAAGTGATTTGCAGAGGAAAATGTATTCAATTATGTAAATAGGGAGTGAAGCTGAGGAATGCAAGAGACATTGAAGTACCTCAGTTAAAACTATAATTACTCTTAATTATAAGGAGCTGATTAATATATTCAAGATCATGCCTGAACATCCTCATCTGAGCTATGCAAGAGTGATTGGGTTGGGGGATGGGGGTGGGAGTCCAGAAGAAATCTCTGAAGTTGAGTCTAGGCTGGGGTGAGGAAGCAAGGAGAAGGCTTCTGGAAGACAGCTTGCTTCCACCAGTTGGTGTCGTTCTGCACACTAATATTTGAACACTAGGTTACAATTAATTTGCAAATAAATTAATTTATTTTTGAATAATACAATCAACTAGTTGCTTTACTAAAAACAATGCTATAACATAGCTTTTAAATTCTAAGTTTTATCTTAAATATTGCTTAATGAGTAAAGGCAAATACAGGATCAGGCACAAATAATGCCCCTTGTTTATTGCAAAATTGTAAGTATGTAATTCTGTAACATAACAATATCACACTCAAACACAACATATGACCTTTTAGGTGAAATGTTCAAATTAAAACTATACATTATTACACCCATATTATTACCCTACCAACACACTCAGGCAGGCCTTACTTCTGCCGGACCCTGTATACACAGCATAAGTGAAGTGCATAAGTTATATCTGTAGTATAATATTCATCGTGAGAATATAATGTGGAATATCAAGTATACCATGTTTAAGAAAATACATTGTTTACATTAAATAAATTTCATGTTTTCTTACCTTCATTTCTGTTATTTATATTATTTAGAAAAAATGAGAAAATAAATTCTTTGCATTAAGGACCAATGATAATTATTGTTAAATTACACAATTCAGATGGTTATAAAATATATGATAAATATGGATATTATGTTCTCTAAAATAGTCTTTGACAGAAGAAAAAAAACCACATTCTTTGCATCTCCTTTACCTATAGCTGCCAAGTGAAACTAGCAGCCATGGAGATATTTTTAAAAGTGTAAACAATATCTTAAATATAAAAATAATATGTGAACTACAATAAATAATCAATGAGAAGTCAAATTATATACTATAGCACATATCAGGCTCAATATATTTCATTAATTTATCAGATATCAAGCCAATACAAATAAAGATTTAACAATACTAGATCTAATCAAGAGAAAGTTTACTTTATTAAATTATTTAGGAAATATTATACACAAATGCACACTTTAGATGGGGTAGAAATATTGACTTAAAAAGATTAGTACTAATTGGCCAGTTCCACAACAAAGCAGACTATTACCACTTATGTTACAGCTAAACAGTTGTTCTCTCCAAAAGGGGAAAAAAATGGATGTAAAACACATTTCAGACACAATAATTCATAGAAGGTATTGCTTTAGAGTTCTTCTATAGGGTGAGCATGTAGGATGGAAGCATCCAACTGCTACAATGAAGACAAATGGCAATCTATAGAAAACCATCACTTACCATAATAACTGAAGCTAAAGCAAATGAAAACTTCACATACAATAAAATTACTGCTAGTGGCATGTATAAATGAAGTTTCATTGTGTACATAATGACAACATTTATTGCAAAACATGTTAACAAAGAGAACCAGTATAAAAATATAAGCTTTCATCACTCACCTCTCTTAACATTTCTGCTTGTACTTGTTGACTTATCTGAAGGACATGGGCAATGGCCTTCACATCTCACTGAGATCTGTTTTCCTAAGACACATGCCTGATATTCTAGTTTGCACTGTATAAGAAGAGAAAAAATATCATTTTGATTATACTTAATTATAACAGTAGAAAGTCAAGAAAATGACAATAGTATTCTTGTGATTCTATTACATATGCTATGGGAAGAGATAAATGAATAGAACAAAGAGCACTACACCTGAATTCAAATCTTTACAGTGCCACTTCTTCGGTGTGACATTTGGGGCTAGTTTCTTAAATGTTCTCGGCCTCAATTTTCCAAAATGAATAATGAGAATAACACCTAATCTACTGAGTTTTAAGAATCAAACAGCAATAGCAACCAAGAACCAGGCTCTTCTCAGTAAATGTTAACAAAAGCTGAATGAAATTAAAGGCAAACAATCAAAATTACTATGGTATGTGAAGATTTTTTTTAACTTAGATTTGTTTTGGTTTGATTTCCTTTGTAAACATTACTCTTTGTTAATATTTTAAGCCTGAGTATTTGTAAATCATTCTTAAGATAATATTTTATAAATGCACATTTGCCATGATTTTTTTAAATGTAAAATTACTCTCTATTTTAAAGAGGCAATAATTATCTTCCTACCCTAAAAGAAATTGATCTTGCTAATTCTAAAGTAATGTGATTTCTTTAGTGGCTACTACCATAATTTAGTCAGGACAAATTATTTTAAAATCAAATAGGGCAGACTTTCTGGCTCCCACTGACAAATGCACCAGTGACTAATTTAATTCAGCTTCAGCTGATACCAAGAAGCACTGAATACACCAAACGACTAATCAGATTACTCACATCTGTACATTTTTTACCCCTTGTCACATAACTCTCTCTGGCAAAATTCTTAACTAGCCTACAACAAATGATAAAATATTTTTGCACTTGGAATAATTTGTAGCAGCTTAGTGGGCCTTTTCAGAAGAAGCAGCTATTCCAAAGGTATAATTATTGTTCATTATTCAGTATTTCAATAATTTTAAAAAATGACCTTGTAATGTAAAATCACAATGAATTTTAAATGTAATTTAAAATTAACTATAGCTAATCAAAAGTTGGAATAGTTAAGAAATTGTGAATGCTTTAGTGAAAGCCAAGTAAGTTATAGAAAACTTTGAGACTTCAAATTTAATATACTTTCCTCTAACTTCTTTTAACTAAAGATTTCAGAACTATGTCTGGTCATCAGAAAATTCTGACTCATGACATAATTTATGAAAAGTTCAGGAGCAATTATAAGTGGCATATGAGGAGATAAAGCCAAAAGTCAATATTAATTATAGCTAATATAAAATTTTGAAATGTGAAAATGTTAGCTTCCTTCAAAGGTGTTATGCTATACTCATTTTCATTTTAAATAAGGTTGATTTTTAGCATTGCTATTTTTATTCAAAGAAAATGAAAATCAAAAACATACTTGAACAACAAAAATACATGAGTTGCTGGTGTATTAAAAAAGGCATTTTTTTTGCTCAAAAGGTGATTATTAATTGTTTGGATTGTTATTAAGCAAATAATTTACAACAATATAGCACAATCTTTATAAACATTTGACTTAATTTTTATCAAGTTTTTCCTCTTGACTAATTTTTTTGGACATAATTACTAATTAAAAATTTCAAAGCTGTCTTTAAGATTTGCATGATATGATGAGGTTATAACTTTGCAAAATAATTACTTCATAAACAAAATGATTTTAGAATGATTCTACTGAACACTTTTTTTTCTGTATGTGCTTCTGCAGGGATCAACAAAATCAGATGTATCACAAATATATACCATGTGTATAATTATATGAATTTCGCTTCCTGTAATCAGAAAACCATTTAGTTTTATTTACTTATGGATTGATTTTGAAAAAGCCTTTGTGAAGAATATCACTCAAAGAATATTAGGATTTAAAAGTAGTATTTAAATTTTTTCTAGCTACATCCACTGATTGTATTTCTAATTAATAATGTTCAGTTTACTTAATTTTCACAAAACGGAAATATTTATACTGGTATATGGGAACTAAAATATCACATAAAGGGCATACTCATTAGTCTATAATTATCCAAAAATGCAAATACTGTCGAGAAAGATATGGTTAATACATTCCTGATTAAGAACCTGGCAATGAGAACACAAGCCATGAGTTACTGTGAAAGGAAACCTGCAGAATGATTTTTCAATAATCAGAATTGACACTTGTCAGCAAAAGATAAAGTCATTCACTTTAATAACAAAATCAAACAATATGATCTTACTACAGGAGAGATCTGGGCTGCCCACAGAAAAGATCCCAACAATCAGGGTCAGCAAACACTGGGAAAAGTTATTGTTACAGGTTTTCAAGAGGACGGAATCACCATTGCCGTGGCTGATGGCTTAAATCAGAGGTTCTCAACTAGGGGACATCTGGGGACTTATTTTTGTTGTTACAACTAGAGGGTGGGGAGACCACTGCTGGTGTCCACTAGAGGCCAAAATGCTATTAAATGTTTTACAATGCACAGATCAGCTCCCCAACATAAAATGTTCGCCGACCTCAGATGCCAATCATGTCTAGGTTGAGAAGCTCTGATTTAAGCAGCAGTCCAATGAAAGACAATGAATGGATCAACTAAACTCTTAAGATCTCATCTGTATTTCCTTAGGAATGTTTTCTTGAGCATTAACTAAAGTAATGATTATAAAATAAAAAACAATGGTATAAGTGAATTACCAGCTGTAAGTTGTTTATCCAAAAAAAACAGAAAGTAAGAATCAGCTATAACAACAAAATACGCAACTTATATAAATGACTGTTTTCATTGGGTCGTCAGTATATGTCATTCACTGTATTAAGCAGTTTTGGTTCATTACTCTTGATCATCAAAAATAGTTATATTTTTGAAATAAATTTTATAATTGAAGCTTAGAGAGCTTATGCAACTAATCAAAATTATACAGCTAAAATCAAATTCAAAACTATTTTATAGAGCTTCCAAAGTAAAACATGTATATAGCTAATAGGAGGCAAAAAAAAAAAACAAACCAGCAACAATATTCTATTTCTTTTTGTAGAGAAAGAAATTTTTATTCAAGTGAAAAAACAAATTAGAAAGTATGGAATATCATGAACGCCTTTTTTTGTTTCTTTTTGAACCTATCTTGGACAGGCTAATATTTTGCATTATAGCATCTCTTTAATACCTTAGGCTAGTGATTTTTAACCAGTGCGCCACAAGACTTTTTAAAACATGCAATACCTAACTACTTAGGGGCACTGATCTCTTTTCCTTTAGATAGTTAAATTAAAAAAAAAAAAGAGAAAGAAAATCAACAACAACAAAAGCCAACACAACGATAGCTGCCTGGTGTGACTAAATGGAAATTATACCTACATTTTAGTCAAATAGGCAAAAAAAAATACATTTGGTGCAATGCAGAATTTTACTAATTAACTTGTGTGTGCCATGAAATGAAAAAGGGTGAAAATTGCAGCCTTAGACAACGAATTTCTTAGACAGGAGCAGAAATCTCATGCATAGAATTCCTCAGACTCAGCTATAGCAAAACCTTTTCCTAGCAAATCCCCTCCAGTTGGGTTCCTCTATTCCCTAATCTTGTGTCTTCCAAGGAAAGGCAACCAGAGGAAGAAAAAAGAAGGCTTAATTTATCCATGAAACCATTCCCTCATTCAATTGGGGTTTACCGTTTTACAAAGATATATCATAATTGTAGCATATTTACAAACAAGCAGGGACTTAAACCAAGCAACAACCTTTCACAGGCTATGCACTGAAGAGGACACTATACCATTGTTTTTCTCCGTTCCACTCTACTTTTGGTTAAGGAATAATATCCTGCTTATTTTGGGTAACTTATCTTCACACCGGGACTTTATTTTGGGAACCTTCTTTTTGCACCACAAAATGTTGCATCCTTTTGCCCTCACTGTAGGTGAAAAACCAGGTGGCATGAGGCAGAGTTCTTTTCCTACATCCTTCCTTAGATCTGAGAGGAGAGAGGCAGGCCCTAAATAGGGACAACGCTAGAAGTATGAGCACCAAAGCTACTAAGTCAAAATAAGAAAAGACCAAGGCAATCCTGAAAATGTTAGTCATTAATTTAAGCCGTCTCTAAGGCTCAGTGATATGCAAGGCATTCAAGTCAGCATCTAGAAATTGTAAACCGTGAAGGACTAATTGAGTTTAAACTCACTGAGATGAGGTGAGGTGAGAGCAGTAAGGACACGCCAGCTCACTGTAAACTTGAAATAAATTTACAATCCTTGTTATGTGGCCACCCACCAGTAAAAATATTGCTCCAGTTAGGAACTAGATTACTTGGCCAAGAAGAACTGCCAGGGAAAAAATATACTTAACCCTGAACACATTGCTTTAGATGTTGTATGTTCTCTAGATCAGAATATCTCCAATTCTTCAAACACTAGTTATTATAACTAAAATTTTATTTTTTATTCAAACTTAAACAGATATCAAAATACCCAGCATAAACTCCTCATTTTGGAGGGACTTTACACTATATTTCAGGGCAGCATCAGAACGTGCCAAGGAGAAAACAACTTGACTCATGGATTATGGACTCAGAACTGAATGCAATAATAATTTTTGAATGGTTTCCCTTTGAAAAGTATCAGAGTGTGTTCACAGATGCCCATGAGATTGCTTCATTACATTCTGCCTTCAACTCAATTTAATAGTAGTTGCATTGAAGTAGTCCTGAATGTCAAGAGTGTGTATTTTTACCTCACCTCAGTTGAGACTGTGAGTATATGCGTATATAAGGCCTTCGTGTTTTTCATACTACTGAGTTATTCAGTTGAGTTATAAGATCAGCTGTGGTCAAATGTCTCTTATTTTGTGATTTCTGTGCATAATGCTGCATTCACAAATGCATATATTTTCCTCTTTGTTGGCCATTGTTCTAAACAGATTATCCTGGACTTCAAAGTCTGGCAATAAATTTAAACATTTTAATGATCAGTGGGATAGTATACTTATTTTATTATCATTTCATTCTTATATAGTCACCAAATTTTGTTATCT